GGGTGGGATGGCCTTGGGAGGAGAAGGGCTGCGGCCGGCGAGGAAGCCGGGCTGGGGTGCCGGCGCGCGCTGACCCCGCGGTGCGGGGCTCTCTCTTTGGCAGCAGGGAAGGTTCACAAGGTCCCCGCCGAGCACAAGCCTTCCCAATTCGACAAGAAAATCCTGCTGTGGACCGGCCGCTTCAAAGCGATGGAGGACATTCCGCCTCTGATCCCGTGAGTGTGCTCGGTGCCGCGGGTGGTGTTTCGCGCGTCGGGGAAAGCCGTCCGGCCGGGCCTCGAGGGTGCGGGGTCCATCCACTCCCCGACCTGGGCGCACGGGGCGGAGGCGATCGCAGTGCCACAGTGCTCTGCAGGAACACCCGCCACCTCCAGCCATTTACCCAGGCCCCCCTCGCGGCTAGATGTCAAGGTCCTTGGCTGTCCGTGGGCAGCTAAGCTTGCGGGAAGATTGCAGAAGCTGCGTGAAACCCCAGGAGTTAGTGGGCACCTCCCCAAGCTCAGACCCCCGCCCGCAGCGAGCTCCAGCCCTGAGGCAGAGGAGCTCTGAGGCCCAACAGGAGGCGCAGTCCTCGCGGGCACCCCGGGGGGCTACCGGGGCGCCCGGGGTCGGCTCCCTGCCAAACTCAAGGAAGGATCATGCCCGAGTGTTGGCTGGAGAATCTCCGGGAAGAAGCGGCATCCGACCGACTTCCTCTTGTGAGTGGGAGACGCCTGGCGTGGTGGCGGCTCTACACCCCTCTGAGCAGCGGGTGTAGTCAGGCTAGGACGCCCCTGAGCCAGCCATCCCAAACCCACCCAAAAGCTTCGGTAAATGATAAAACAAGCTGACAACTTCACCCCCAGGGTAAAAAATATTCATTTTTTTTAAAAATAAGATCAGTTTATTTTCTTTTTTTAAAAAAATATTTTTATTGATTTCAGAGAGGAAGGGAGAGAGAGAGAGAGATGGAAACATCAGTGATGAGAGAGAATCATTGATCGACTGCCTCACGCCCCCCACTAGGGCTCGAGCCCACAACCCGGGCATGTGCCCTTGACTAGAATCAACTGGGGACCTTTCAGTCCGCAGGCCCACGCTCTACCCACCGAGCCAAACCAGCCAGGGCCGTACAGAATATTCTCCCTGCAGTTTCAGTTCATGCAAAGCCCAAAAAAACTTCCCAGCATTTTTGCAAGAGAGTGGGTAAAAGGGAAAGAAGGAAACTAAGAATAAAATCAATCTAATATGTTTAAACTGATTTGAAAGATAGACTAGAACTATAATGTTAAATAAGGACTTTAGATGTTCTGTATATTATCTTTATGCAAGATGGTCAATGCCCGTTGGAATAGAGAATGAAACCTGGGCCTACATCTTGTCCTGCACATATTACCCACACTTTTATTGCTCGTTAATTTACTAGTTACCAAAAGCATCATAATTAAATGAAAAAATAAAACGTGTTGGGATATGTTCACTCAATAATGAATTCTCAAAGATTCCTTACTTGGGTCAAATTATTTAATGAGGAATGGACTTGGAATTTGAAATAACATGGAATTTGAAATCTGTTCTAAGCATTTATTTTTCCACAGAGACGTTTTTAAATAATATAAAACACATTTTCTTTTCTTTGAGATTTATACACTCCAAACTGCAGACAGCCCAAAGCAAAATTTAGCTTCAGCAAATCTAAAGCATTACCCTCACTTTTTAATTTTAATTTTTATTTTTGGGGGGGGGGGTTTGAGTTGTAGTGCTGCAACAAGTAATCAAGAATGTAAAGAACCGGTGTTATTGTAAATTAATGCTTGTCAAGAGATTCTAGGCTCAGCATTGAATTAAAATAGTTGTAAGTGTAAAGAGACCCATTTTACAGAAATAATTTTATTTCCCGAGGATTACAGTTAAAAGTATTATAAACAGGGACATTTTAGTTTGAACAAGATGCCTATGAAAAGTATTATAGTTTTGGGTTGGAAACATGAAATGTTTGAATTATTTTCATTTTACTATTTTCTATAGTTTTTTAAAAGTATTGTTACTTAGGAGGGATACACCTCCTCTGCTAACTGTTAGATTTACAATGTAAACAGCTTTCACTTTTTATGCTCTTAAGGAACATATAATTACCAAGTTTGTACCAGACACTAACGAAATTTAATAATAACTGTACTTTTTCTTGTTCCTTCAGTGTTAAACTAATTTGGTATAGATGAAAGTCAGATGAATGGATGAAAAAGATCAGATCTATTAGGTTCCATCTGGACAACAGTCAACAACAAATATAATCTAATATGTCTTTATATTCACCTGTTTGCAGCTAACATCTTAAAACTTACATTAATCTGCCTAAAATCTAAGGCTAACAGGCTAGGTATTGGTTTTCTGTGCTCTTTCAACTAGTGGAAAAGTTTTTAAAAGAAACTGCATCTTGTCTGCATGAAAAAAATTTTTTAATGTAACTGCGTTAGATAAGAAAGAATACTGTTGAATACATTCTCAAGAACCACTTTTTAATTTTATGTATTTATAAACTGCTACTTCATATTATTATGAATTGTTCAAGTTGATCTATAATAATAAAAACATAATATGCTAATTAGACCGGACAGCCAAACGACCTTCCAGATGTCATTTGGACGTCCGGCAGCAGGGGCCGAGGCAGAGGCAGTTAGGGGCAATCAGGCAGGCAGGCAGGCGAGCCGATAGGAGCCAGCGGTCCTGGATTGCAAGGGGGATGTATGACTGCCAGTTTAGGCCTGATCCACCGGTAGTCAGACATCCCCCGAAGGGTCCCAGATTGCGAGAGGGTGCAGGCTGGGCTGAGGGACACCCCCCACCCCACCCCATGCACAAATTTCGTGCACTGGGCCTCTAGTTTCAATATAAAAGGCCTACAGGCAAGATTACTTTTGTAACACTACTTTGTGAGTAGTATATCTAAAATTTTCGACAACTTGCATAAACTTTATTAATGAATAAGAGTACTCAGTTTTCATGTAAGCATATAACATTTCAGAATGATAATAAGAAATGAAGATATCTTTTTTCTTTGACAAATTATTATGATTTTAATCATTTCTTTTGAAAACTTCATGCAAAAGCCATGAAGGAAAAACCTTTCCTCTATAGTTATTCTCCCAAAAATATAAAATATAACATCATGATAGTCATCCTCACAAAACGTATCATAATCTCTTTAATTGGGATAGGCTAGGAGGTGGCAAGAAGAGATTGGGAGGCCAGTAAAAAAAACAAAAACCAAAATGATGAAAATGAGTTTTAAAAAACAGTCTGTTTAAGACTGAAAACAAAGGCCACTTAATAACACAAGGAACAAATGAACACAACTCAGGCATACAGACACTTTAATTCTTACCTTTACTTCCCCCCCACCCCCCACACACACATACACACACACACACACACACACACACACACACACACACACACACCACCACCGCCACCACCAATGAAAAAAATAAAAGGATGGAGAGTCAGGCCAGAATCTCTAGTAGTTATATTTTGAGCAATTAGAAATGAAATTGCCGGGGTTCTTGTCCCAGCATCAAGAAGGGTTCAGGAATCTGGAAAAGGGGCTGTGTGTAGATGACATATGAATCCAGAGACTAATAAAGAGTTCGGAGACGAGATATAATTTTGAAAGGCATTGGGGGTCAGAGAACCTTCAGCTAAAGGAACTGAAGACTACCTCCTTGTCTAGGACCCTTGCTTTTATTAACACAATTTGTCCTAAGGCAAGGTGGAGATAATACACTTCAAAGGTTTCAAAGGGTACAGAAGCATTGTCAGTTTGGGGAATAGCCTACGGCTGTTCAGGTGTTTGGCCAGTAGGAGGCAATAACATGTAGATTAAGATGCCCTTTAACTGTCTGGCAGCCACAATCAGTTTCCTATTCAGGTTTGGGGAAATGCCTTTAGCCATTCCCAACAGGTGACTACATGTGTGACTCAACCCTGTCGAGTCCCCAAGTCTCATCAACCTTTTGATGAAACTCTTGAAGTTATGGCATGCTGGAACTGGTCTACGGCAGAAACATTACACTTTGGCTTCTAGTGGCTAACATTAGTTAACACCTGAATAAATGCCTGTTAATTTAAAATTGGTAAGACAGTGACATAGCATTTGGAAGTCTTTCACATCTGGATTTGCATTCAGGGAAAGCTTTTGGAATGTTTACATTACAAATCATTGTCTATTATGCCCGTCAGAAAATCATATTGCTTTAATATAATTAACAGAATGCTTATCTTAATGCAGGCGAGAAATGATAGATGCCGCAAGAAACAAAGCTCGAGTGAAAGCCTGTTACATAATGATTGGCCTCACAATTATCGCCTGCTTTGCGGTGATCGCGTCAGCCAAAAGGGTGAGTACCTCTTTAAGTTAAAGGTAGATTTTAAAATAAAAGAAAGACGGAAGTACCACTTGTTTTCACTTAGGACTATGGGGGGAAAATAGACTGTAAATTTTATGAGTTTTGTTCTCAATTTAGGGATTATTGCTGTTCTTTCAATGTAAGAATAATTTGGTCTTAGACACTTTGAGCCATCCACATTTATCTGTCTAGACTGGAAACAAACTTCTTCATGGAAATTTGAGTCAACAGATTAACTCTCTGAGCAGGAGGGACAAAAGCTTGTTTCCATTTGTAAAGTAAATAAAAACAAAACAGAACAGTACATCACCTGGTTAAAATCTTCACAAGAACTTTATCCAGACTAGATCATTCCTTAAACACTGAAGTCAGTTGGCTATTGTATAGAATCATGAAGTAGTTAGAAATGCAAAAGTTGGAAGTCATCACCAAGGCTGACTAGTTTGTCTATATCCTGTATCTGAGCCTTTTTCTTGCCATCTTCAATATGTAGTGTCTAGAGAGAAATTAAGAACTAATTAATTACTTGCTAATTTTGTCCCTTGCTTCCCCAAATCCTTCCATCTGCTGATCACTTTTTATCATGAAGAGCAACCCCACACATCCCTGAGTCTTCTCCAGCCTTAATTACTCTATCCCTAAAACTTCCCTCTGTTTGGAGCTCTCCTCTGGACACCCTCCAGTTTATTCGTGTCTCTATTCATTGTGGCACCTGAAAATAAGCCCATTGGAGCATGATTATAACTTTCTTGTTCATGAACATCATGTTTTACTGGCACAGTTAGAGTTGGAACTAGATTTTGAGAGCCACGTCACACAGACTCGTTTGCTTGGATCCATACAACTCCAGTCTCTGAGCAAGTTTAGCCAATGCCTAAAGAATGCTCATTTAGAATAGTAATCTTGCCTCGTCTTATGATTCTGTTCTTCTTTACTTCCCAGGTTTTCAAGAGTATTTGAGTCCAATAATTCACATATAGACTAGGGCCTCTAAGCTTACTGATGTTCATGTCCATTCATTTCTATTATTCTATCTTGGGAAAAACTTATACTTTGAAATTATTCTCATCAAATGGAACATTTCTTAAGTATTTGCAGGGCTGAACACTTAAACATAGAAATAAAGAAATTTGGTCATCTCTTGTTTTCAACCTACCCTTGATAAAATGACTGGCCACCACGTTGATGATTTTCTCATTCCTAAACCACAGATTGGAACTTGACACCCCACCCCCTGGTTTCATACCATATTCATTCTGTTCATTATGCTTCATCGGCATTGTTCCTCCCCCCTCCCCCCCCTAGTTTTTAATACATCAAACTCCACTCTCTTTCCCGGTTCTTGCCATAGATGGCTTCTTCTCATTCTCCTTAGAGAAAGTTTCTCTGACCACCCCTTCTCTAATGGCCTCTCCCGGTACTCACAATTCTATCATCTTTCCAGGTGCTCATGAGTAAGCCATCAATCCTGCAGGCTCTACTTTAAAATATATGCACAACTGGACCAGTCCTCACCATCTGTCCTGATATCACCCTGGTCTGAGATAGCCAGCATCTGTTGCCTAGGTGATTGCAGTATCTTCTGAAATGGTCTCGCTGCTGTCCCTCTTGCCTCGCTTCAATTCACCTTTCATTTTTAGTCATTAATGCTAGTCCCTTAACTAAGACTGAGACAGAAGGAGGTGGAGAAAAGGTCAGCAATTTGAAATATATTTGGGGAGGTACAAAGAAGAGAACTTTATGGTAAATTCAAAGTGAGGAGAGGAGAGAAAATGGAAGAAACCCAAAAGCCCAGGTTTCTGCCTTGAACAACTAGATGGATGGTGATGCATTGCTGAGATGTGTAAGGCTGGGGAAAGAACTGGTAGGCATGGCAGTCCTCTGTTTTGGATATATTAACTGTGAGATGCGTCTTAGACACCCACCAATGTCAAACTGTTATTAATTCTGCTAAGAACATTATATGTTTGTCTGAGGACCTATAGCTTTTCTCACTTCTGAAAAAGCTGTCATAACTTCAAATATAGCCCCTACTCTCAGTGTATCTATTTTCAATCCACCTATTATGAATGTATGTTGGAACTTCTAACTCTATTCTCTGTGGCTCTTTATTATATTTTTTGTATCTTTATCTCTGTGCTGCATTTAGATGATTATTTCCTCAGATCTATTTTCTAGCTAGAGTTCTGACTTCCTAAACATGATGCTGATTAACTTTTCTTTTCACAGGTGATACACCCCCATAAGTTTTTGCCAAGTAGATAAATGCCTAATTTCTTTGCCAATTTCTCTTGCTGGTGAGAGCTGTTTTATTTATTTTTATTTATTTATTTTTTTCTTTACTTTTTTATTGACTTCAGAGAGGAAGGGAGAGGGAGAAATAGAAACATCGATGAGAGAGAATCATTGATTGGTTGCCTTCTGCACGCCCCCTACTGGGGACCTAGCTGGCAACCTGGGCATGTGCTCTTGACCCTTCAGTTCCCAGACGGATCTTTACCTACTGAGCCAAACTGGCCAGGGCTGGTGAGAGATGTTTTAGTAATTTCGTAGGGATACCTTTTCCTAATAACTCCAAACTTTTTATTGCTAGCTCAACTCTATGCCCATGATCCAAATCCTGGACTTGCCTGTTGGTAAGAGGCTAAACTCCAAGCCCACAGCTTTTGAAGCAAATATTTTTTCCTAATGACCCCCACAGTGAAACCATTTCCTTCTGTCCTGTTTTCAATCCTTCTCATTCCCCATCAGTTCATGCCTTTTGAGTTCTTTTCATTTCTCTTTATTTTGAACTAATATTTTTGTTGCTTTTTATCCAAAATATATGTGCTTACCAAGAGAGGATGGGGCCCATTTCTGACATTGTGACCAGTGTTTTACTTTACTTTTCTCCTTTTCACAAAATCTCTTCTATATATCTAACACACAAGTTCTTTCCAGGTACAATGCTTTGCTTTTTTTTTTCAGGCTGTAGAAAGACATGAATCTTTAACAAGTTGGAACCTGGCAAAGAAAGCTAAGTGGCGTGAAGAAGCTGCGTTGGCTGCACAGGCTAAGGCTAAATGATACTCTAAGTGATGAAGTGTTAATCAGACCATTACCACTATTATCAGCAACAATAAAAAATAGAATATTTGACAAAATATTTGGGTTTTGTGGGTTTTTTTGTGGCAAGTGTTGACGAGTATGTGGAAAAAAAGGAACCTTCGGTCACTGTTGGTGGGATTGAAAATTGGTATAGCCACTATGGGAAACAGTATGGAAGATCTTCAAAAGATTAGAACTAGAACTACCATATGACCCTGTAATTCTACTGCTGGACATTTAACCAAAGAAAATGAAAACACTAATTTGAAAAGATACATGTACCCTTATGTTCACTGCAGCATTATTAACAGCACTATTTACAATGCCAAGATATGGAAGCAAAGTAGGTGTCTATAAATAGATGAATAAAGCTCTAGCCGGTTTTGCTCAGTGGATAGAGCATTGGCCTGTGGACTGAAGGAGCCAGGGTTTGATTCCGGTCAAGGGCACATGCCCCGGTATGGGCTCGATCCCCACTAAGGGGCATGCAAGAGGCAGCCAATCATTGATTCTCTCTCATCATTGATGTTTCTATCTCTCCCTCTCCCTTCCTCTCTGAAATCAATAAAAATGAAAAAATAGAAATAGTTAAATAAAGATATCTAAAAATACAGGGTGGGGCAAAAGTAGGTTTACTATTGTTCATATGGAAACTAATACAATAATTAATAAATAATAATACAAGAATAAACTTGGTTTTGTGTACTCACAACTGTAAATCTACTTTTGCCCCACCCTGTATATATAGTAGAATATTACTCAGCAATATGAAATCTTGCCATTTGTGACAATATGGATGGACTTAGGGAATATTATGCTAAGTGAAGTAACTCAGAGAAAGGCAAAGACTATATTATTTCACTTATATGTGGGATCTAAAAATACAAACACAAACAAACAAAACAAAACCAGACTCATAGAAACAGAGAACAAACCGATGGTTGCCAGAAGGGAGATGGGTGAAAACGGTGAAGGGAAAACAATTTTTTTTTACTTTTCTCCCCTTTTAAAGGGACCAGTAGAACGCTACTGCACACTGAAGTCTACTTTTTTACCTGTACATTGTTCCTTCATACATTTTCAGTAACTCATTTGCCCCTAAAGTTGCAGACTGCCTTACTGGGAACAGCATACCCTAAAAATAACTGATCCAATTACTTTCACTGCTCTGTGATCAACAGTTTCAAATACTGAAGGAAATGAAGCCACCCAATGAAAAAACATAGTGGTGAAAGAAGATAAAGCACTAGGTTAGGGGGGCCTAGGCTTGGCTACTGTGTGACCTTATGTTCCAGAGTAATTAAGAAAGTTAAACCCTCTGATTTCTATTTATTAGGTTTAAAACTTTATTCCTTAGATAAATGCATTGTATTGCATTAAATAACAGAAAAGGAAAAATCTCAATTAAACCTGTGAAGTAGTTGCCATGGCTTGAGATACAAAAATATATTAGACATTTTCCTTATTAGAGCAAAATTTATAGATTCTAAAATAAAAGCAACACACAGCTTCAATCCGATATACAACAAACAAGTCTTATTGGTTTTAGAAAGTGGATGGAATTTTAACCAATGATGGTGTCTGTTTTTGCTGTGCTACGAATACACATATAATCTGAGAGCAAATGAAATAGACATATGTAAATGCAATTGTAAAATAGTATTTTATTATTTTTAATAGAGTGCTGTAACATTTCATAATATTGTATACTGCTCAAATGTTGGTTTATTTAGTTAGCTAACATTATCCCTGCCTCATCCCACTCCCCAATCAGAACTTAAAGATATGTTATCCTTTTAGAGCCTACATAACGGCTCCTAATATGTCACATTACATAAAACAATAATGCTATGAACTAAAATGAGTAAACGTTAACAATACTTGGATTTCAGTTTCACACAGCAGCCAGTAGATTGCCGAGTTTAAAACAGCAACCAAAATCCACTAAGACTTTTTTTTTTTTAAATATATTTTATTAATTTTTTACAGAGAGGAAGGGAGAGAGATAGAGAGCTAGAAACATCGATGAGAGAGAAACATCGATCAGCTGCCTCCCGCACACCTCCCACTGGGGATATGCTCGCAACCAAGGTACATGCCCTTGACCGGAATCGAACCCGGGACCCTTCAGTCTGCAGGCCGACGCTCTATCCACTGAGCCAAACCGGTTTCGGCTCCACTAAGACTTTTATGTTATAACATTTTTTCCATAATGTTCCTTCATAAGAGAAGAAAAATATGAAGGCAAAGGTAATGCTTCTTTTAGTCCTTTATCAAACAAATCAAGCTTTAATTGCAAATAGGTTTTATAGTTACCAAATGATATGTTATTTCTATGCCAGCAAGTTTTATTTTATTACTAGAGGCCCGGTGCACGAAATTCGTGCATGGGGGTGGGGGGGGGGAGTCCCTTAGCCCGGCCTGCAACGACGCCAGCGTCCCACTCCCGAGTCTCTGGCCAGAGGCCCCTCCCTCTGCACTGCCGGGGCATGGGACGCTGGGCCCTCAGTCCCTCCCTCCGCTTGGCCGGGGCGCGGGACACTGGGCTCGCATCTCCAGGCTCGCATCACCGGGGCGACGCTGCCAGCGTCCCCTCACCCCCCACCATGGCACTGCCATATTTGTTGTGGAGTGATGGTTAATTTGCATATTACTCTTTTATTAGATAGTATTATTACTAGAGGCCTGAAGCACAAAATTCATGCGAGGGGCTTGGCCCTTGCAGCCCTGGCTTTGTTCGGCTGTCTGGTCTAATTAGCATATTATGCTTTTTTTATTATAAAAAAAAATGTATTTATTTTTTGCTTTCTTGTTCTGGTGCTACCAGTAAGAGAACAAAATGACACTAAGAATTAAGTCCTAGGAACACACCTTTAAAAATAAAACTTATAGTAAAAAAACAAAAAAAAACAAAAGAACAGTCCAGTGACTCAAGTACTTACAAATGTACAACAGTAAGCAAAATTGCATAGATTAACTATTAAAAATTCAAATTCAGACAAAACAAAACACCGAATTTACTGCAATAAATGTATAGGACTCTTTCAAGTATTATATTAATTTCTGCATTAATGTTGCATGTGTTCCCCCTTTAGATGTTTTAATTTTAGGGGTAGGGCACAGTTTTTCTCAGATTTAAATATAATGAATCTTAGGAAAAGAAGTTAAAACATTTTTCCCCCTATAGGTCAGTGAAGATTAATGAAAACACATTTTGGAATACTTTAAATAGTACATTTGAAAAAAGTAGTCGTATTAAAAAATAAATTTACAAACAAAGTCTTTGCTAGTCTTGGTTCAATAGTCACCACCACACCAATAGCTGATTCCAACTATTACTATCTCTTGCATTCAAATCTAATCAAATTAATTACCCACATAACAGGTCCATGAAATTAAACATAATTTTATATTTGAATGCTTAAAATATGGTCACATTTGTACTTAGAGATATAATGTTTATTTTAGTGGCAAAAAAATTAAAATCCTCCTCTGACATCATTCTATATGTGTGTGCATGGGCACAAACATATATATATTATTTTTCCTTCTATAAGAACTATTTGTTTGAAAGGTTTGGCTTAGAGATTTATTAATGTGATTACAGTGTCCTCAAAATAAAAGCAGGCACGGCTGGCTAGTTTATGAATTATGCTATATTATTAAGTTCAATTGAATAGAAAGAGTGGAATACCCTGTCTCCTTATACTTAGAATCATCTATACCACAAAAAAATGTTTATCTGATAAATTTGCTAATCCTTAATATACCCTGTTCTTTTGAAGATACATAATGCAAAAGAAACTTTTTATACTAAACTTCGTAACTTCCACTACAATAAAAAGGACACAAATACAATCTTCTGCTTAATATAAAAGAAGTTTGGCAGATACAGTCAGCATTTAAACACCACTTAAACCTGTACTTTATAGTTGTGGGTTTTAAGTCTCTTGCCAAAAGCTTAGTTTCATGATACATAATTTACAAAGTTTCATACTATTTAAAAGTACTCATATATACATTTTCTTCTTATAACATGCCTCTGATTTCCAGCAGAAACATTATAAATGCTATCATAAGTGAAATCTTTCTTTACAGAATAGACTATGAATCATAAAAAATGCTTCAGTTCCCATCTTAAAACAGTTGTAAGCTAATTTTTAAATAAGTATTTTAGTTATATAATTGGAAATGTAAATAGCCTGCATATAACTATAAATGAAAAAGCTGAGTTCAACAGTACCATGTCTGCGTAAACTTTACCAAGTATAGTACTGTGAGAATAACACACAGACACATACATATATATTTACCCACACATAAATATATATAACTTTTCTATTGAAACTTTTTAAAAAGTTTCAGTTTGAAGAGGTTTTGCCTTTAATACATAAAACACACACATTATATTGACCAATCTGATATAAATGTAATGTAATACACTGATTGATAACACAGCAGTATGAAAATCTGAATATTAAAAATATCCTAATGCAGATTTCAACTATATTAAAGAATCCTTATCAATTTTCATAAATATCATCTTTTCGTGTCCAAACATTAAGTATATTGACTAGCACATATCAAGGTGACTTCTTCAGGATAATTTCGCCATTCAAGTACCTAAATTCACTAATACACAGAAAATGAAACTTCAATTACTGCTGTGAAAAATCAGAGAATTACATATAGTATTATTTTTACTATCAGCACGACTTTACACTGATGCTGGCATCCCTTAAAATTACGCTTTTTTAAATAAAGAGTGAAAAATTATAAAACACTATTTCAAAAATGGTAGCATTTTTGGTCAAAATACAAAATATGCTAATACAATAGCATTTATATGTTAAAAACACAAATATTTAATGTGTAATCATTTTACTGTGTTCAACATGAAGAACAGCTTCTCTCTTCACAATTGCCACATTTTAATTATCAATATTTCTTCTGTGTTTTATAAATAAATGTTACAGCTTTTTCTGTTGCAACTTATTTTTGCAAAGTATAACCTCCAGCACAGTG